CAGAAGCCTCAGCACTGGTTTAAAAGGACAGTCTGCAGCAAACATTAGAAAGTCTGTTAGAAATATTCCTTTTAATTAAGAGATGGTGTTTTATTGCATCACCTATTTTACTTATTCCCCGATGGCACAACGAGGCCAAAATTTGAATACTTCCAGAATTTCCAGTAAAGTCCATGCTCTTGTTTCCCATAAACTCACCTGATTTTTTTTCAGGGGAAATGAAGCACTCTATTTATGGTTATAAAAATGCCCTGGTGCCGTTAACAGTTCTGCACCCCCAGGAATGGGAGAGGCCCTGATTTGGTGATGCTCCACTTCATCCTCAGCTGAAAGGTCTAACAAAGCAACTGTTTGTGCCAGTGATGGACTGAAAACCAGAGCAAGAACATTACCCAGCTACACATGGCCTGAAGGATTTATTTGGAGCCAGGTATGTACATCCAGCACACAGCCCTGAACAGACTTGTTAGCGGTGCTTTGACTTAAACCCCTTTGGTCTGTAAGATTTAACAGCTCTCTCTGAAAACACCTACCTTATTTTTCTCCACCATTGCTGCCAGCTGGTAGCAGACTTTGCCAGCATAATGTGAGATGATGAAGTTGGGCTTCTTACTAAACCTGTCTCGACTTAAACACTGATTACCAGCCAAGGCTTTCTCAATCCGAGTCTGGAACAGGTCGGTGTTGGAGGGTCTGTTCAGGCGACACTCCTGCAAACCAGACAGGATTTGTCAGAAAGAACTGACTCTGAAAGCTGAACCACTTCAATTTAAAATCACAGCCTTTTTTGCTTTTACAGCATGCAAGCCCTGGAATATTGGGGGTGGGGAGGATGGGAAGTAACTGAGGCTTCGTGTTTGAATCAGAACATCCAGGATCAGAGGAGGAAAGATACTCAGAACGTGAGGAAGCAGTGTCATGATTATTCTGAAAACGGAGCTCTGCAGAAATTGTATATCTGACAAGTTTTCTGCTAAGGTAGTGTTCATATTTTCTAGGAAACTAGGCCAAAAAAGTTCAGGGTTTAGATCACACTTACCTCGTTCAGCAAGGAAAAAATGCTGAGAGGGTTTCCCTCTAAGAGATCAAGGCAGTTCTGGTTATCCTGGTAGTTTATGAATGACCACTGCAGGCCTTCAGCTGCATATTCTTCCTGAAGGAAAAGGGAAAGGATTATCCTGCAGCAGAGGGCACCAGAGCCTGGAACTGTGTGTCTTGTGCAGTTGATGCAGTTAATGTTTAATGAGTTAATCCCAGCTCAGCTGCTCATCCAAAGCTCAGCTCGAGTTTAAGAGCAAGATGAGAAAAAAAACCAAATGAGGGTATTCCTGCCCAGGTAGCTTTTGAGTGTGGATCAGATCCTGCTGGAACAATTTGAGTATTTGGGGACCTCAGAGATTTATCAGAGTGAGCTGCAAGGCTGATTTAGAGAGGCTACAGTCACACAAAGCCTGTCCTGGCTGTGCTGAGATTTGCCCTGAAGGGCAAGGAACTCCTTTCTTAGACTGGGACACAGCCCTAAACCAACCATTGTGTGCCAGCCTTTACTAACTGGGCTCCTTTTAAAGCCTGATCCAAGAGGAAGTACAGAAAGATATTAGTTGAAATAATCTGTACAATATTTATGCTGAACTCCAGGACAGTCTGTCACGAGTGTTTAACAAGCTCAAGCTCTGGGCAGTTATTTTAAAAGTCTCCTGCCAAAAGCTTGCTCAGCACAGCCACTAATGGCATTTAAGTGGTTTGGGCCCCAGCCAGAGGCAGAGAGGTAAGAGGGCAGGCAGTGACTGGGAGGGGAGCAGTAAACAGAGGTCATGGAGCAGTTTCAAGGCAAGTAATTGTGTGCTTGAACTCGGTTTCCATCTTCACTGACCATTAACCCCTGGCACACTGACGAGGGCAGGCAGGGAAAAAAAGCCTGGGAATGTGAAAGCACAAACTGTAGTCAAAGGAACACTTATCTCCTGAACAAATTGACAAAGCCATGCTGGGAGGCAGGAGGTGCCAGTGTGCTGGTGCCATAAAGAAAATAATTTCCCAGATTATGCTGTTAATGGCAAAGAGCAACGTGGTAATGGAGCTGCACTGGGGGGGAACTGGAGCAGCCCTGGAAGGGACTCTGTGCCCCCAGAGCACTCAGGAGAACTGGAATTAGCAGTGTGTGACCAGTGAGGCAAGGGACTGCAGAGCCTTTAGTGTGGTGCAAATATCTCCTCTAGTGTGAAACAACACAATTTGAGGGCATTCCTAACAAAACCCAAAAGCTGATGCACACTGTGGTTTGGTTTTACAGGTACTGACACAGCAGCTGGTTCATGGAGCTGCTCCCCTGCAGCAGGAGGACTCCACAGGTACCATGTGGGTGTTGGGGTGACAGGGATCTGTTGGGCTCTGCCTTCACACTGAGCTCAGTCTGGGAGCTCCCCACTCTTTTTGGGACTCTGCTTGAGGAAAAGAATTAACATGGCCATGAGCAGCACCTTCCAAGAGAATCTCTAGGCTGCACTTACCTCAAGAATTTAAAGTGTTCAGCTCTTTGAGGAAAAGCAAACAGTTTAACAGGCACAGAACCAGTGGAGCTGGGTAACAGGGAACAGATTTCCAGCCCCCAAGACAGAAAGCTGTGGCATTCCACCAACTGCCCCACACTCTCCTCTTTAAAAAGCCACTGTTACATCCCACTGGTTTCTGTGGCATTACTTACTGACTGAAGGTTGCAATCTGACCAGAGGCACAGAAATACAATTCAAGTGACAAAAGATGCTGTTTTAAAATCAGATTTTTTTTTTCCTCTTAGTGGGGTCTCACCTGCTGTGCCTTCAGGTAGTGTGCTACAAAGTGCTGCTGCAGTTTCTCGTTGGCATAGTTAATACAGAGCTGTTCCAGGTTGTTTTCAGGGAAGGCTTCAAAGCCATAAACATCCAACAGGCCTAGAAGGAACGTTGGGAAGACAGTGAGCTTTAGTCTAGGAGCAGCTTGAGGGACTTTCAGTGAAACCAGGGTGGAATATGGAATATCCATACCTATGAAGCTGGTCCACACCGATGGATCTGCATAGATGCTCTCATTGATGACCAGAACGAGCCACTCAAACAACCTGCAATGACAGTGGGGTTGGGGGGAAGCTGCTTGCAGGGCAGAGCTCTTTTCCTGCTGTTCCTATCGGTGTCACTTGGGAAGGAACAGAAATCTCTGCAGCACTCTGAAGGATTCTCTGCCAGAGCACAGCAGAATGAAGGTGTGTTGAGAGGGAAAAGGGAGGGTTACAGTGATGGAATCCAAGCAGAAATCCAGGGGAAATAAATCCCTCTGGCCTCCCCCTTCCCTCACCAAAGCCCTGTGGGTTGGCACAGCCATACCTGGCATAGATGACTTTGGCCAGGCAGTCCCTCCTGGTCTCACACTCAGCTCTGGAGCAGGGCTTCTTGAACACCTGCTGTTGTTTCCCAGCAGTTATTGTCCGAATTCTTAACGATTCCAGTAGTTCCTCCACGGGGATCTTCAGCAGATCTCCAGTGGTCTTCACAAAGCCTTGTTGAGGAGGACAAACAGTGCCAGGTTACCTGGATGCAGATCCTTTCAGCTGTGGAAGGTCGATAGTGTAGGAAAATGACACTTCCATGAGCTCACCCACTTTAATGTGGACTTTGGATCTTTTTTTACCCAAACCTGGGAGCAAGTTTTGCAAGACCAGACCCTTAATTTGGATGTAGAGTTCTCCTAGAATTTCAGGTGCTCTATTTAAAATGAAACAATACCAAGCAATTCTCAAGTTTGCCACACTGAAGTTATTATTTTATAGAGTCTCTCTAGTCTTTGTTACTTGTTCACCTTTTTGGAGCAGAGACCTTGAAATCCAGGTAGACAAATCAGTCATGGCCAGAAAAAAAATCAGGGAAAAAAACCAGAAAATGTAGAAGAATGAGCATTTGCTAACAAAGCATTTAAGATCTTGCTGAGCTGTATGAAAAACAATTTAATATTAAATAGAGCTTGTGAAATCATAGTAGGAAACTTCACTGTTCTGGACAGTTTTGGTTCTGAAGGAAAACTAGACCCAGAAGCCTCCTAAAGACACACAGAACCAACTCTATTTATGCTGCAATTTTAACAGATTATCTGTTACTCAGTTCAAGTCTTTATCATGGAAACTTCAAAGCTTTTGTGTTAAAAGCCCTGCTCTCCACTCTGGGTCAGACTTCTGCAAAGTCTTGTGATGTCAGGGTAAGATTGCAATCAAGAGTCACAGTCCTGCCAATAATCCTGCTGAAATGACTGACTGATGCTGAAGTTGCCTTGACCTGTCACAGAAGGATATTGTCTCTCAGAGCAGGGGAGCATTAGAGTTTTGTTTACTCACAAAAACAAGCTTAAATTTTGGTTTGCTCGTGACCTTGATAGTCTGTATCAGCAGAGGGGTGCAGTAATCCTTTCCATCAGGCATCTGCACTGAGATAAGAGGAATCCCTGGAGCATGGCATGGTTGTTGCCTCACCTTTGCTTTTGTCTTCTAGGTCACAAGGCTGAGATTCATCCACTGGATTAGAGAATTGGACGTTCCCAAGGTGGAGAAGGCCTGACAATACCTGAAACACAATCAATAACTGAGGTTTTTAAAGCAGCTCCCCTCCAAGGCAGTGTCCTCT